AAATCATACGTGAATTCATCGTATTTTCCCTTCGAGATTAGAAATACATATGAATCGGATTGAATCTCTGAGTCTGCAACAGCGACGAAAATTGAACCCCATCCAATTCTTGAAACCAGTGTGACGGCGATCGCTGGTTGTTGCAACAGAAGGAGGATGAAAGAAGTGTGCATGCGTAAAGTCATTGCAACATGCGATTTGTTGCTGTTGCAGTCGGTATGGTATAAAGATATAAAGGGGGAGAATCCATACCGACAGAAGCTACGATTTCCATCCTTATGACGTCACTGTGTCCACAGATCTCGGAGATCGCAAGCAAAGATATTACGATAACTTTTCATCTTTCTCTTAGTAAAAATAAGCTAAGACTTTTTCTGGTTATTAGCTTTCAAACTTTACGTAATTAACACATTATTTCCGTTCATAAACATAGTTCAAAAAAAACTTTCTTGGTTATTATATTAAAAAAATACCATTTTAAACTTATAAAAATGTTTTGCTAGTTGGTGAAAATGACACGATAAATACTTTATTTTAAAAAGTTCAGTTTTAACTTTAACTATTAAGAAAAATGAAGGCATATATCGACACTTTTTTTATCTACATATTCTTTTATAACGATAAGTTAAGTTAAATTTAGAATCCCTGATTTTAAAATATGTCGTTAATAGCAATTTGTTCATACTTAATCATTAGGAAACATCAACCTTAAACGCTAATTACTGAAACAAAATAGTATAGGTTCATAATGACATTAGAAATTTTACAATTGTTTACAGATATTTAAATTTACTATATAATTTATAGATATTTAATTGAAGAGAATATAATTTTTAAAAAAAATCATAAATATTTGGAATAACTACATTAAAGAATATGTTATGAAATTAGGAGAATTTTAACTATATACTATAATTTTATTTATACTTTTTATTTACATTTTAATTTTCTTTGACTTTATCCATTTTTTAATTCTTTTCACCTGCCTTTCTTTTTGAAGTAACGAGGTGGTTTCTATTTATATAATGAATTTTTATAAGAGTTCTTAACGACAGAATAAACGTATTGCTTGTTTTATATTAACTGTGTCATTTCGGAATCCATTCCTTACATAGTTGTTCATTTACTTTAGGGAACACGCGGAAAATTATATTTTTTCCTTTTGTTTTTCTATCAGAATTTTTGCAAGTTGCAATCGCGCAAACTGGCATTTCGATAATAGATTTAAATTCTTGTAAATTCACTGCAAAAACTGTCATTATAGAAAATAACAAATGTCTTGGAATATCTCGCAAAAAGAAATGCTCCAATATTACTTAGAGCTAGTAAGACCGAACGCTCCGTTCTTGAAATAAAAGTGCGAGCTTTTACGTCACTAGAGAAAATCGGAGGATTGGCGCGGCGAGAGTTTTTTCAAAGGAGTGAAATAGCCCTTCTCTTCCAGCCCTTCCTTAGCCCTGCTCTTCAATAGGGACTTCTTGTTTATTTGTTGCTCTGAACAGGTGTTAGGAATATAGTTAAAGAATTAATCAAATCTTGCTGGTAGTTATACATTAGATTGAATGAAGGGAATTTTATCTCTCTTTGCTGTGCTTCGTAATTGCCTCAATTATAACCCCCCCACTGCTAACAGTATGGGGATTGCTCTTCTATGTAGGTCTCTCTTCCCATTGACATGTGAGAGGTGCAATTTATAAAAATCAAACATTATCTTGGCTAATAAGCCTGACCCAGATTAATGTATCGTAATACATTATATCAAGTTATGCCAAGAATAAATTTAATTTTTAGATCTACAACTAAAATATGATGGCTTTACTGATAATCTTGCATTTATCTTTAAATTTTTATTATCGTTATGGGTTATTGAATTTTACAAATGATGCTGAATTATAAATTTTGGAATAAAATAATGTATGAACTTTTCCTATTATTATTATTACTACTTTTTTTGTTTGCTTTTTTTTAAATTGACTTGTTATGAATAAAAAAAATTGATTAGGGCGCGTTTAAACGCATTATTATGTATAAAAGTCGTAATCAGTGTTTTGTAGTTAAAATTGGGAAACAGTGTCCTCCAAGTAATTTCTTAAGAGTAAGAATAAGTTTTACAAAACAACAACTCTTCTATGGTTTTGCCCGAAAAAGTAAAATATTGAGTGTAACTTTTGAAGTTATAAGAATTGAGTTGATATAGTTTTAGTCAATTTATCAAACATCGTGTTCATTTTATATAAATTTTATCTTAAAATAAGTTACAAGAATTTCTTACTAACTTTAAAAAGAAAAGCGGATGGTAAATCGGAGTTTTATGATTAATAATAACAATATGAAATAAATCCCCAACTTTTCTCTCTTTGAAAAAATAATACAGAATTCTTGCAACTCATTATTAATAAAATTTATTTTAAATGAACATGATATCAGAATTAACTGAGTCAACTCGATTCTCACAAATTGAAAAGCTACACTCAGTATTTTATATTTTAATTTTTCGTGCGAAACCATAGAAAAGTTGTTTTCTTAATCTAATTTTATAGTCTTTAATACTATTTCATCTTATGTCTCATTAAATGTTTAAAAAATTGCTCTTTAAAAAAATAAGAAAAAATAATAAATATTAAAAGAATTTCAGTTTTTTTTTCTCATTTTTGTAGATTTCGAAATGACACTGAAACTCGATATAAGATCAAATGCCTTTGTATTCCATATGCTATAGAGTGAACCTTATATAAATCTGCTTATATTCTTGCTAATCTCCATCAACAGAGTAGATAGATATAAAAATACAGGATACTTTTTAGCACTAGAATGTTAGAATAGATGAATATCAATTAAATTATCAGTTAAATAGCATTTATTTACTTTACAAAAAAAATATAAAAGATAATTTCGTTATAAATAAGAATTTCCTGGAATTTGGGTGAAATTTTAATTGATTATAGATCGGAATCGGAGTCAAGTTTAAGGAAAAGTCCGGAAACAGATTAGTTTATTTCAATAGCTCTAATCAACACAACAAAATCAAACACAAAACTAAAATACATGTACCAACACAATTAATAAAGATAACATTTTTCGGCTTTATTTATTTTTAGCATTTTTGTCGATAGCTTTGCGTTATTAAATGAAGTATACAATTTTCTTATAGGTTTAACAAATGAAAATAAAAATTGACTGACATCCGTATCATTTGACATGATATTGTTACCCAAGGCCCTCTCATGATAGCCACAATCAAGTACTTTTTTCTGGTTCCTTTCGTTGAACCATAAAAAACTTATTACCACAATACCTTATAAAAATAGCACCAATTGCCATAATACTTGTAAAACTAATGACCAAAATTAATTAAGTGGTGACAATAATACGTGGTGATTTGTTTATGGTTCCCCTTAATTAATTTAAGTATAAAATATTTTCATTCAATATTAGTAATAAATACATTCTTAAAGAAGTGATTTTTTTAAGTCTGATTTCATTGATAATGAATGTTTTTTAAGGGAGCTATTATAATAAAAGAAATAATAAAAGGCATATGCATCGAAAATGCTAAATTATTCCTTTCATCAAACAATGTATTGATTTATGTCAATAGTGATTTTTTTTAAATAAATCAATATTTTTAAACAAACGGATTAAAAAATATTATTGCTTGAAAAAAGTACTAATACAATATACAAGAGAATTAATAAATACTTTCTTTATAGAACAATTTTTTAAAATCTGATTTTATTGATAATGAGTGTTTTTTTTTTACTTAGAAATAACGAAAATGATATGCATGCAAATTATTATGTTTCAAAATTGACTAAACCTGAATATAAGTGTTATAAAACTTTTAAATTGCAACTTTCCTCTGAATACATTTAAAATAGTTTTCTGACTGAAAACATATTTCAATTATGCCCATTTTTGTTTATTAAAATGTAATGCTTTTCAATCTTATTAAATATGTAATATGTGGTAAACGTGTATCAAGACTTGTACAATCCAGAGTCGACATATTTTTTTCTTCAGTTATGTTTTTTGATCTAAACTAATTTACACTTCATTACATATCTAACAGACAAATTATCTCCAAATTTTTAACAATCATCAGCAAGTTGAGCTTGAAAAATATAACTATAATTATTTTAACTCAGTGATTAGTATGTAACAATATAATAATTTTATCCATTTCTGTAAGAAATTTTAACTATTTTTGTTATATTATTTAAATAATTAAAATCTTTAATCAGATGCTTTGGGTGATAAATTAAATAAAATCTAAAAAATTTGATTTATAGAAGAAGAAAAATTGCGATTCAAATCAAATATATGCTGATTTGTGATTTAAAAAAGAATCGCGATTTTTGCCAACCGTGGCTTTTGGTCAGAGTTGCAGTTATAAACATCTCCCTAGATGAACGGTGAAATGTAGAGTAAAAAATAAAACTTATTGTTCTTAATTTTCTTCGTTTTTTTTACGTCTTATTTATCATGAGGTTGTTCAGATATTACGCAAGCACCGAACAAATTTTAATTTGATTATTTTTGCTGACATTTGCTGGGGCAAGAGGGGTATGAACACTTTTTATGTAAGACGTTAAACTCATCTTGTTTTAAATTTTTTTAGCCGCATAAAAAATATCTATGTAAAACAAAAATTACACTCGGAAAATTTTCTAATTTGGAATTAAATTTGATGCAAAAAAAAATTTTTTTTTAATTTTTTGAAGCGTTTTAAAGATCAAGAAATTTGGCCTCAGAAAGAAAGCACAAAAATTTCATGAACAATAATTTACTCCAAATTTTATAAAATGAACGAAAATGCAAATTTTGTATTTGAATTTAAACCTAAAATCAGATTACTACAATGAAAGTTAAAGCAAAAGCTTTCATACGTAATCGTTGGAGAGAGTTTACGATTCATAAATGTTTTTTGACAAGAAGGTGGGTTGCTCAAAATTGCCAAAAAAATTCTTACGTAATATTTAAGAGAAAATTGAACGTAAAAATTGGAAAAATATTCACCAGATTTTATTATAAAGCAAAAACATAATCGAAACAACATTTTAAAGTTAAATCACGTGCTTTGAAATCACAAGTAAATTTAAGTAAATTGGAGAAAAACAAAATAAGAAAGTTTTCCAGTTTAAGTCGTTCGAGAACTTGTTGTTAGCAATGAGTAAAAAGAACTCTCCGATGTTCATTCATTGGGTCTCAGAACTAGACTCCATTTTCTGCTCATCGGTTTCTTCTTTCTCTTCCTTTTTCCATTTGTATGGATTAACTTCATTGTTGTTAATATCTAAGAACTCCAATTTCCTGGGACCGACATGAACGTAAGCACATTTTGGATTCCTGCATGCAGCGTTGTATTTACACTTGGGATGAACAAAGTGGCACTTCTGACCCATCCGGCATTTGGGGAAGTAACGGCACCTCGGTGCCTGTTTTGGAAACGGTCTCACAAGGCAAATTTTCTGTTGCTTGCTCGCGTTTTGATAGTCTTCAATGGCTTTTCTTTTGAGAAGTTGATTTACAGGAAATGCTGAATTAGATCTGGAAAAAAAAATAATAATTAAAATAAATTGCATATGGCAATTATGTAGCAAACTATCCATGTTTGGAATATCCCCCTTATCAATACCCTTAATATATTTTTAGAATCCTTGGGAAAAAAATTTTAATACATACATAAAATGTATAGCCTATAAAATATATATCTTTGAAAAAATGCATGTACTAAAAATCCCAAGTTAATATTTAAACCATGATAAAAAGGAAATACTGCGAATTTTTTCAGATCAAAACGATGACTAAATAAAAAAAAAAGAATCGTTTTGAGAAAGGCGAGATTAAAAGTATCAAAACATATATGACTGATAGGCGAAACTGTAAACTGTTAAAACGTATGATTTCTTTGTAAAACTTGTGCAAGTTTTAAGTTTCATAAAACAACCTTAGTAGTTTTGACACTTTTAATCCCGCCTTCCTTTATATTTCCAAGATCTTGTCATTGATTTTATTTTTTCCTCGCTTATTTATTATTTATAGGTTCCAATTTGTAGGACTTCATTTTTAAAAATGGATCTAAAAATAAACATTAAGAACGGTTTTCAAGGAACACTCAGTAGATGACTGGACAATTAATTGAGTGGTGTCTATTAGTAGTTTGTAATTGAAAAATTTATAGAACCTTAAAATTTTTTATTAGGTTGTTTTTGGTTTTCAGTTACAACTTAAAATCTCTTTAATTATCAAAGAGTTAACAAAATTTCAGTGCAGGGAATAGTTATATCCTAATTTAAAATTTTAAACTTTAAAAAGTGTGTAATAATAAGTGTAATTAATTTTTTATATGTATTAACTTAATCATATATTTAACTCATACATATTACCTTAATTACTTTGATTAATTATAACTTAGTTACTCTATAATCAAGGAACTAATAAGTTTTGTACGAAGAACCGTAAAATTTTAACATTTTTTTTAAATTAAAATTTTACTTTTATCTTTACTTACAACGTAGTTACCCTATAATCATCAAAAACTAAGAAGATTTTGTTGCAAAAAAAAAATTACATTTTAACAATTTCTTAAGATTTCTATTTTAATTTGAAAAATACAACAATTGTTTATTGTTTTTTAATTATTAATTACACTATAATAGCAAGGGAGCAAATAGTTTTCTTTTTGCAAAAAAATTAACAATTTTTTAAATAAACTTTGAAACATTTAACAATTTAAAAAAGTTTTAGCTATTTATTTTTTTTTTTAAATGTGGAAGATTTCGCAATTTTTTATCATATTTTAATTATTACTTAGTTACTTTATAATCATCAAAGAACTAGCAAGATTTAGGCGGAGGGTAAAGCTTTAACACTACAGACAATAAAACTTGAAATAAACCTGAAATACACCTTCACAACATTACTTTCTAAAATTTTCACACATTTTTAAAATTATTCATTGCTTTTTCCTACTGAAAGCATACTTAAATCAAACCCAATATGAAATAATATTTCGAAAAACAAATTAAATAAATAAGATTTGACTGCAAATTTTTCGGATCATGCGAGTCTTTTCTTTCGACTGTCATGAAAAAAAAAAAGGGATTAGTCGAATTTTAAGGCAATAAATATTCATCAAACCACATAAACTACTAAATGTTAGCCTAGGGCCGGGATAGCCTGGTCGGTAGGGCGCTGGGCCCATATCCAAGAGGTCGTGGGTTCGAACCTCGCCGGCCGAAGACTCCCCGTGTAGTAAATGGTGACTGATGCACGTTAAATCTGTCGAGTCTCAAAGTCCTCCATGCTCCCACAACAAATCAATACCTCTGGGGGTACTGATCCAGGAGTTTCCTTGTCTTCTGGATTGGTTCAAAATTACAAGGCTACGGAGTTGAACGTAAGTAGTCGTAAACCCATGAAATTGGGTCAGCTGTTCAACGACGGTTATAAAATAAAATAAATGTTAGCCTTTGACGAAGATGAGATACCGGTCTACCTTTTATACATATTTTTTCTGTTGCTCTAATTATAATACATTTTGATATTCTTTAACTACAATAAGCAGTCTAATAGTTAACTAAAAAAATTTTTATTAAAAATATGCTAAATTATCGAATTATATTTGTACTGAAATATAGAATCAAAAAAAAAATTAGTTTAAAAAAATTAATTCACATTCAAAAATTTATCAATGTATAATTTTCAATTTACAAGTTTCAATAATTATCAATATATAATTACAAAAATTTAAATAATTAGGAATAAATATTTGTCTTATATCTAGAAAACTGAAAAAATTATTGTTAGTTCAATTGTTATAGTTAGTTCAATTGTTATTGTTCGTGCTTGGAAGAATGTACCTGTGGAAGAACGCAGGTAAAGATATCGGTTGCTCCTGCTAAGATATCGTACTTTAATTATAACTTAGTTACTCTGTAGCCATGAAAAAACTAGTAAGATTTTGGTGCAGAGAAATATAAAATCTAAGCACTACATATAAGAAAACTTCAAATACAGCTGAGCTATAAACACTGATAATTTTTACATTATTACTTTTAAAAATTCCGCCCAACTTCAAATTATTCTTTCTTTTTTTTCTTTTAAAAGCATGCATAAAACAAACCCAATATAAAATACTATTTTGTAAAGTAAATTAAATAAATAAAATTTGATTGCCAATTTTTCAGATTGTATTCTTTTCCATAAGGATTTATATAGATTCCAGCACGTGCATTACAACATGGAGCTTCTGACTGCCATGGAAAAAAAATTATTCATCGAATTTTAAAGCTCTAAATATTTATAAAACTGTATAGACTGATAAATGTATATAATACTTCGACGCGTATAGGATACCAGTACCCTTTGCAATATTCTTCTGTTTGCTCTAATTACAAGCAATAATATACTTTGATATTTTTTTAATTATATAAACAGTCTATTGGTTACTAAAAAATCTGTTATATTTTTAGAATTATATTTGTACTAAAAATGAAAAAAGTAGTTGAAAAATTACTGTTTTCCTTCATATTCAAAAATTTATTAATAATTGATTTTGTAAATTGAATAAATTTCAAAATTTTTGAGGAAAAAAAAAGGATTCGTCAGATTTTAAGGCACTAAATATTTGTCAAACTATATCAACTACAATCAAACTATATAAACTACTTCCTTTGATACTGATGGGTCGCCCATGTGCCCTTTACACATATTCTTCTGTTGCTCTAACTACAACCAATAATATATTTTGATATTTTTTAATTATAATAAACACTCTAATAGTTACTAAAAAAACCTGTCATTAAAAATCTGTTAGATTATCAGAATTATATTTGTACTGAAATATAAAACCCAAAAAAAGCAGTTTGAAAAAAATTTATTTATATTCAAAAAATTATCAAAATATGATTTTGTAAATAAACGAAATTTCAATGATGAATAAATGTTTCACCTATGCCAACATAACTGCAAATTTGAAAAATTATTTTCTTGTTAGGAGGTCAGCCGTGTTTGGAAGAGCTTACCTTTAAAGCAGAAAAAGACACCGGTGTTTCCTTTTGTATTTCATAACCGTAGATTATTAAAATACTAAATATAATATTTTTTACTTATTTTGAACTAAATTTATACGAAATATTGAAAAAAAGAATGAAAATTATGTTTAATAAAATTCTTCGACAAAAGGGTTAAACGTTGAAAATTAATAATGCTTTGTTTGAAAATGCAATCGTTTAATGTTACGGTGTTAAACATCGTACAAATATATTAACTGACCTCTACCAAATATTTTTATTTAAATTCTCAAATCTTCTTATAAATGTTAAAAGAGATTATTAATAATCAGAAAATAATAAACGAGTTCATTTAAATAAAATTAAGGGAAAAGATTGAAATTTTTGACTAACGATTATAATTTAAGCGTAATTGATTCTTGTAATATATTGTTAGGGTATATCGAGTAAAAAATGTACAAATTCCCTAATCCTTACTGTTTATAAAAGTTAAATGATGATGTCGCAGTCGGACCCTATGAATAAGCGAATAAATTATTTAAACATCATCAGTTTGATCTATTGTCATAAATTATTAGTTACACTATACAAAATATTACACAAATATTTGTAGATAAGGTAAAATTTGAATTCTACTATTTAAGAAACTTCATTTTAATACACTTTACTATCAACAAATCGAATGCAAGAATTTTTATCAAATAAAAAGAAACATTCGTTCCTAAGTTTCCTTACTATAATATTTGCAAAAAAAAAATTTCATTTGAAGCAATCCAAAATGTTTAAGCAAAAAAGAGAAAGGTAAGTCACTTTTTGGCATTAAAGCGCATATCGATAAAATAAGGTTCTAAAAAATTTCAAATAGCATTTCCTCAAATAAAAATGGTTATGGCTTTTATGCTAAAACGTATGTTGCTAATGTAGTTTTCACTGAGTAGAAATATTTGGTTAAATTGTGTAAAAAAATCGGACTTAGGTAGAAATATCTAAAAAGTTTAATTAGTAATTATTTTTATAATAATTGAGCTTCAATATCTACAGTTTAATTATAATATACATCATATTATCTCACATCATTTAATGAACATTCTAAACTCGTTTAATGCATTAATTTTCGCATGTTCCAAAAACCTCTCCTGATTATAAATTTGTTTTGTGATTATTAGGGGATTAATTTATAACATGAGTTTAACAACTATTATGTCGTATTATTAAAAATAAAAAGATACAGATATGCCCATATATTATGTATGGATAAAACAATGCACTTTTATCGATATTAATCAGAAATTTGTTTATTAGAAACGTAAATGCATAGTAAATAAGTGAAATGCTCGAGTTCAAGAAGTACATTGTGAAACAACAATCGTTGTTTCTATTAAATTTCATAACATAACCCCATATCTCATGGCGTACTCCATACCCTATAAACTAAAGTAACTTATTAAGTATCAGATTTAAAATGAAAAATTAACAATATCGAGAAATATTAACTATATATTAAGAATATATTAACAATATCAGGAACTCACTTTACTTATATATTTATATTCCTTATCGGTATGAAAGGCAAAATACACCCAGAACTCGAATACTTCACTTATTTACTATGTATGTATTTTTAAAACAATACATCTGTAATTAATAACAATAAAAATTTATTGTTTATTGACTCATAATATATAGAAACATCATTACCTCTAAGAGGATAACATAGCCGCTAAACGGTAATTTACTAAAATCACATTTTAAATAATCAATTTTTCTATTAATGTCAAAGAAAAGTGCATTGTCTTGTTAACTCTTAATATACGAGTGAATCTATACTTCATTACCTTTAATGATAATACCCTGTAAACACAAATTCACTAAAATCATATTTTAAACTGAAAAGGAATATTAATATTTCCCATTTCTCCGGTGCAAGTAATTTTAATTGTCATATTTATTATTTTTTAAGAAAATTAGACGTCACCTTAAAAAGATTAATTGAAAAAAAAAGCTGAGTTTACTGGCACCCGTTGACCTTACACTGCCGACTTTATTCCTTTTGCCGGAGAAATGAAAAGTATCAAAATTACTAATATTAAGTTTAGTTTAATAATTATAAAACAAAATGAAATTACTTAAGAATTGAAGTGTTGACTACTTGGCTTGATGACATCTTGATGATACGCAGCTTTATAATACCAAATTAAAGTAAAACTCAGTCGGAAAACAAACTAAATATTACTCCGTGCTCTAAGAAGCGTGTACTAGAATGTACCAAGCATGGATGGAAGAACAACACCTTTATGTTGGTACAGAATACTACTTGAAAAACGACTTTTTTCCTTATCTCTAAATCATAGCAACTTTACTGACTCATTTCGAATTTCCACTTGTAACTTGCAAATTAATAACAATGAGGATATTTCTGGGTGGTACTGGAATAAGAGAGTTTAGTTGGCCATTGATACAAAAGATAATTGTCAAAAGCGAAAGAAACATTGGGGCGGGGGGATGAACTACTGATAAGAGTTGGCAATAGTATAAATACACCACAGGAAGCTCTGTTCCAATGTATAACTAATATGACAATAGCTGAAACGTGCCAATATATGACTAATTTGACAATGATTGAAATTATTCTTAACTCTTTCAATTCATTTTTTAAAACTTCAACAATGCGAATGCATACATGTCAGTTGTTTGTATGAATATGCGATAAGGACTTATTGTTCAAGATATACATGTACTGCTTAAAAATCTTACCAGTAATTCCAGCAAAATATCACACTGATTTCAATCTAAATCTTCCATTGCGGATATTCTTTAATGGAGGATCCTCTGAGAGTATTGCAGCTATTACCGGTGTCAGTGAAACATTTTAGAGATGAAATTTAATTCCCACAATGTATGGTCAAGTAATTCATTATATCTATATAATTCAGTAAAAACTCTAACGGTAAAGATATTCGTTAATATTGCCACTTAACTATTTATTATGATAACTTTTTAATAATTCCAAAATTTTAGTAACGTTATTTAAAAGCACTGTATAAAAATCTGTTAAATTTAAGGAAAAAAATCTCAGCTAGTGTGCCAATATAAAACAATGAGGTCTGCAGCTATTATCAGTGTCAGTGAAACATTTTAGAGATGAAATTTAATTCCCACAATGTATGGTCAAGTAATTCATTATATCTATATAATTCAGTAAAAACCCTAACGGTAAAGATATTCGTTAATATTGCCACTTAACTATTTAGTATGATAGCTTTTTAATAATTCCGAAATTTCAGTAACGTTATTTAAAAGCACTGTAAAAAAATATGTTAAATTTACAGAAAAAAATCTTAGCTAGTGTGCCAATATAAAACAATGAGGTCTGCAGCTATTATCAGTGTCAGTGAAACATTTTAGAGATGAAATTTAATTCCCACAATGTATGGTCAAGTAATTCATTATATCTATATAATTCAGTAAAAACCCTAACAGTAAAGATATTCGTTAATATCGCCACTTAACTATTTAGTATGATAACTTTTTAATAATTCCAAAATTTTAGTAACGTTATTTAAAAGCACTGTAAAAAAATCTGTTAAGTTTACAGAAAAAAATCTCAGCTAGTGTGCCAATATAAAACTGTATATTTCGGTTGTTTAAACAGCATGTTAAAAATACTACTATATGAAATCGTTTTTCTCGTTGTGATCGTTTTTCTTTGTTCAGATAAGTACTGTTATTTCAATAAACAAACTCTATTATTAAAAAAAAATCCGTTATTTTAACAAAATAACTCTTTATGATAACCATACCAGCATTTTGATTGGTGCAAACCGAAAACAGAACTCGCATGACAGATCAACGTAGGAATTTGAACCCGGGACACCTCATTGAGAGACGTGCGCTCTGTGACCTGAGCAACGGCGGCTCCTGTGTTTAATTATGAAGAAAAAACCTTCAGATGTCTTAAAATTCCTACTTGCTTTAAAATTCTTACATATTGAAATCATATTTGAGTGTAAAAACATTTAAAATTAAGTGGCCCACATTTATAAAATGTTTGTCGATTTTACTTATCGAAAAATTATATGTAAAGATGGATAATAATCAAGTAGAGTATCAATTCGAGAAATAAGTAGGATCGCAATTTTATTTACATGATGGTTGAAGCCCATAAAACAATTTCTGAAAAGTAAGAGCAAATAAAGAAAATAATTTTAAAATTATTTGGAAGAGATAAAGTTATCTTACGGTAAGCAAAAGAGCACGGTAAAAAATAAAATTTGAACCAACAGTTTGAATTTGTTTATGATTAGGATTGAAAAAACAGAGAAAAATTGCTTTGGAAAAAACAGCTTCAAACCCTCAAATAAACGGAAAACACGGACATTTTTTTGTAGCAATAAATAATCATAATGCTCATAATAATAATGAAATCAATGCTTATTATGCTAGAAATAGTACAGTTATTTAAATGAGATCGATAAACAATATTTTTTACTTCAAATACAAATAAAGTTAATTCTGTGCATTCAAAAAGTTTAAAACGTTTCTTAGAATTCTTAGAAGAGATTTTGTTTGTGTTTCTGAAGCATTTCAAGAACACTTCTAAAACCTTTCTTACAGCTTTTTCAAGTGCAATCCTGAAATTATAATTTATGCGTAATATTTGCTACCTAGTTAGTTATCCTTCTTTATTAATAGCAAAGGTAAATACAAATAGTAGACAAATTTATTTGATAAATCGACTAGGCCAAATTGAGTTTTCACGATAAAGGAAAGACATTTTCGAGTTACTTAGAAATAATTTTTCTAAGTAACTCGAGTAATTTTAATAGTCACCCGTGATGAGATAATAGATTATTATATTTAATATTTTCATTTAAAATCTTGAGAACTAATTAGTCCTTCTTTCTAACTTTTGGAAAAATAATTTGAAAAAGACATTGTTTTTAAAATAGTGCTAAGTAAGATAAACTTCTCTTGATTGAGTTATTTTTTAATTAAAAAATCAATGAAATAATAAATAAATGAAAAATGGTTTTAACTGAAGCATTCAAAAACTCAGGAAAATGAACGAACTGATTTTAATAAAATGAATTTAATAAACTTAATTAAATAAAAGAATTTACTAATGGTATCAAAAGATTTGAGTTAAAAGGAATTCATTTAAAACTTTTTGGGGAAATTTTAAACATTTTTATCTTTTCAACTATTATTTCTATATTATTATTTCATTTTAGCAAAAGGATTTGATAAAGCATTACTTAAAACTTTTGCATACAAAAGCAAAGGAACTTTTACATATACCTCTTAGAAAAAATAAATTGATTTGACTTCAATTTTGGAGAAGTTAATAAAAATTTGTTTTAGTTTAAATTATTATATTTATCCTAAGTGAAAGAACAAGAGCAACTAATATGAGTTTTTCCTTTTATTATCAATTTGACTGCATTTCATTATAAATAATCAATTAGATATATACATAAAAAGGAAAGTTTAATAATTGTTTTTTTCCATCGTTTGCGTTTTAATCCCTATCTCCCCTCAACTAAATCACATGGAAAAAAATAATATGACTTTTGTATTAAACTCTTTATGCAGTCTTCAAATTTCTCTTCTTTTATTTTAATTACCTTAATCAATATTGTAATTTGTCTTTAAGAATTGAAAACTTTTGTTTTCGTACAAAGTAATCCACGAAATGCATGTAAAAAGGAGAAATTAAAAAAGAGAAAGGAGGGCAACAAAAATAGTATACCGTTCATGTATCGAGGAAAAAATATGGTCAAAATTACCAGAATATGATTAAATGTACCGTATTTCTGGCCCTATGGGAAATCCTAAAAGCTAGGTCATCCTGTTAGGTGGGTCATCTTGACCATCATTTACTAGCAGGTGTTCCTTTGTAACACTCCTTACAATGCCCTTTGTTCATTTTGGGGGAAATAAGTTTGTGACGAACCGTATCTGTCATCAATTTTTATTGAAGCGCTTTAATAATGATTTTGATAAAATTAACTATATAGTTTTATAATATGCTTTAAAATTTCTCAAATGTGTTTAAAAGTAATAAGTTTATCATGATCCCTTAGAGCATGGCATAAAAACCAGGGCTCGAAAAAACTCAGAAATTTCACCCGTCCCCGAGGACGGCTTGTCCAACAATGTATCCGTCCTCCTTTGAAACTAACCCGTAGCTTCTAAATAAATAAAAATATAATTTTCTCTTATTCATTACAAACATTTATATAAATTGAACAATGAATTAGTTGTTACTAGGATTACATTATACAGTAATAAAAGAAATACTAGGTAACTAATAGTAACCAAGTATTTCTTTTACAAAATAATTTATTTCTTTTATGAAATAATTTAAATAACAAAGGTAAGTTATCTGGAATGTCAATTTATCCGAGGGTACTGCGTTTTTTAAATGAATCAAATATGACGTTTGCTAGTTCCACAATCAAGTCAATGATTTACAAAGGTTTCTGCGCAGAAATCTGAAAATAGTTTTCCATTTAGGTAGATGTTCATAATTGTGTTTAACGCTTCTTGTTTAAGACCAGTACGTAATGTGTTTTTTTATAAGTTCATTGCTGAATCCATTTCTGGGTCATATTAGAAACGAGACGCTAGACTCTTGTAAGATAACAAAAATTTAAAATGTTTCGCGAACATTAACGGGAAAATGGCCGTCCGCGCGGACGTCAGATTCGAGAAATTCGCTGTCCGCGGGGAATTTTTGACCACCGAGGACGGGTGGTTTTTCGAGCCCTGATAAAAATCATCCAGTCAAATTTACTTTAAGAGTTACGTATTTTTTACAGTGCTAAAAAGTACTGTAATTTTGAAAACCGGAATTTTCGGTAAATTGTTACCATATGAAAGGAAAAGCTACCAAATGGATGGTTTAAATACCATAAATTTTTGTTTTATTAGCCAGAATTATGGGGATTTTTTTTACCAGACATGTCATTACCATACCATAAGGAAATTTTAAAAAAAAAAATTTCTCCATGCACAGTGTTTGTTTTAATATACTTTTTTACGTTATTATGATTATTTTGCTTAGTCTTACTACGAAAAATTTATTAAGAACTTTATACAGTTTTCAAATGCAATCTTAAATCATTTTAAATATATTAGTTAATATTAGTTTAAAACTTTGAATTGAAAACATTACTTTCAGATAAATTGTGTCAGCTTTTAAAATAATTTTGCTCATTGTTAAATGCTATAACACTTCTGTAAGCTATTTAATTTAAAACAAAAACGAAAAGTTTGAATATAACTTGGTTTTTTGAAACAAAAAAGCACCAAGTGTTACATCAGAATTGCTTTGAAAATCTTGAAAATAGTTTCGGAGCACAAAAACTTTTTACGGGTAAAGAATTCTAAAATAGATATTTCTATCAACCAAAATTGTAAAATAAGATTTTTGAACTCTTCTC